ATCTGTGGTTTGACTTCACATGCCAAATCTTTAGCTGCTTTGCGGTTTGGATGATGGCTGAATTTAACTGACAGAAAATCGTCATGATAGTAACAGTGCTAACATGCTTCGAAAGTGACTCATAACAAGGTTTCCAAATATTCTTGGACATGAAATAGAATTTTTGAGGAGCCATTCAAATGATGCTTGACATCCACCATACAAAATTACAAAAGAGGTCGTCACGTATGTGATTTAGATAGAAGCGATATTAAATTGATGGAATACCGCAGCTATGAGGGCGCTCGGATCAGAGATTTGTTTCTGAGGAGACGACTCAACGACAGCCATGTTCTCGGCATCACGGTTATTCGCATTACTCGGTGATGTCAGTGATGATGACCCTGAATTCGATGCTTTTTGAAAGCCCTCTGACGATGTCGAATCCATCATGTGATTATCTATGACTGAATATGAATTTGATTAGTGATATTATTTGTAGAATTTGTTGATCGTGCCGCGTTCTAGTGATACGGATGTACTGGCGGAATGAAAAATGCATGCTTATTGTGAATAAAACTGAACACTTAATAGTATCCTCTGTTGATAAAGCATTCGTAATCCTCTATCCATATTCAAATATATAATAGTGAATTATGAACCAGGAACGTTTCACAAGAAGACAGTTAAGGTGATGAGTTGAATAACAGCGAAAATGCAAAAACGAAGGANTTATGAACCAGGAACGTTTCACAAGAAGACAGTTAAGGTGATGAGTTGAATAACAGCGAAAATGCAAAAACGAAGGAAAATGACGTGAAAGAGAAGGCGGATGGATAACTGATAATGAAAACGATGGAAATGTTAAATCAAGTGTTCCCTGATCACATCAGATAATAAGCGCTAAACACAATTATTCTATAAGTTTCGATGAGCATTATCAATGGCGAATGTGCAGCAAAGTTAATACGCGTTGTAATAAAACGTCGTGTTTGCTCAATTAATTATTCATTCGTGATGATATTCAGTAACGTTTATTCACTCAACGAAATAAATACGGCATTGATACGAACACGATGAGCACAAACATATTTATCCTTATGCGATAACACTCACCAATACATTGCAAACTACCAACTTATCATCAGCGCATTATATGCATAGCACATTTATATACAATACGGTATCATTGCGAACTAATTGTGAGTGTTTATTTGAGAAGGAAGATAAGAACTGATAACACAACCCAACCAAAAATGGTTATCCAAATTGATTACGGAATTGAATGTAGCGAATTGATCGTTCGTTACGGTTGCTCTGAGTTCTGTGTGCACGGCGAACAGTCATAGAAATTCACTGATCGGCCATTAGTTCGAAAATGGTAACTGGTTTTTTGAAAAGGTAGAAGCTGTATTGTTAGGACAAAATCAATTTTGTGGTAGAAGCGTGTTTTGGATGACACGCTTGGTGCTGTGACAGAGAGGTCTTTTTAGAGGCAAGATTAGACTACATCAGCATATAGGCGGTCAGTCAAAAACAATGGTTTTGTCAAACAAACAAATTTGACAACCCTCAAGGAAAATTGCGTCAAAGAAAAGTTTTGAGCAAAGTTTTGAAGGGAAATTACTTCGGCAAATCCGTTACGTCACAGTGATTTTGTCCCTCAAAACGGCACCCGGTCAATCTGCCTAAAGACATTTTGCCTAACGACAATTTGACTAAAGACACATT